CCTTTTAGATATTTGAAAACCGCTATCATGTCCCCCCTTAATCTTCTTTTTTCCAAACTAAACAAGCCCAGTTCACGAAGCCTGGCTTCATAGCTCATGTTCTCTAGACCTTTAATCATTCTTGTCGCTCTTCTCTGGACCCTTTCCAATTTCTCCACATCTTTCTTGAAATGTGGCGCCCAGAACTGGACACTCGAGTCCTGCAGGAGGGAGTTCCCATGCACGTGTGCAGACAGGTACGGCTTCCTGCAAGCATCTGTGACGGCAGACTTGGCAGTGTTTGGAAGATCAGTTCACGACTGTCACTGAATGGGGAACGCACGGGACACTCTACACCAGATCTTTGTTCATTTCTATGTCTGCTACCTTGGCCCCTTCCTTGGCCCATGCCCTCCCCACCTGATTACATTGGCCAGGGTACCAATAAGGGGTCACGCTAAGACACTGGACGGATACGAACTTCCAGCAGCTCTTACTTGGATTCTGTATAGGAATCACAGATGTAAGTCAGGAGAAGCAAAACCAGCCAATCTTGTCTCAAGAGTTCCTGCCCCTACAGAAACAAGGAGGGAATATTTCCAGGTCATGACAAAAAGGAGAAAAAAGAAGCCACCAACTGCATGGAAAACGATTCCTTGCATCTACCTCCCTCCTCCACGTGCACAGAAATCAGAGCCACGTTTCTGACGAAAGTCTGCATGGATCGGCTACTTCTCCCTACTGTCTGGGGCACTGGTCTGCTCAGGGCATGTGTGTAATCAGGGTAGATCAGGTGAAACACGGACTGAACATGCGGTTCATCACAGCAGACCCTACAGGGGGCTATGTTTGTTGTGTGCACCCCCCCCCCCCAGAAACCACCAAAGGGGTGGAGAATTTTAGCTGCTTCCTCACCCAACTTCCTGGGTCGTCCTGGCTTCCCGTGCAACACGATAAAACCCAGGCCTGCATAAACAGGGGAGCAGTCAGAGATGATTTTATCCCTGGGCAAGGCGCTGGTGAATTGGATACCGGACTGTGGTTTCTAGTCAGACTGGAGACAGATGCCTTTCTAGGAGGGATGTTTCAATGCAACACACATTAGCAGGATCCCTGTGTGAAATTCGCTGGCCTGTATTAAACTGGAGCTCAGTCTAGGTAACGTAACGATTCCTTCCGGCTCTCAGTAAGGGGATAGGAGCAGCTTTTAAGGCAGGCATCATCTCTGATTGGGGGCGGGGCCACTCCAAGATTTTAGAAAGTGGTCAACAGCTGCATTTCTCTCCGGAGAGGGTGCAGGGTCTGGAACGGAGGGCGGGTGCAGAAGGGAGCTTGGGATGGCAGAGAAACAGGCTGCTCCGTGCTGATTTCTGGCTGCTTCCCAGTCCCCGTCCCCCCCCCTTCCTCCCAAGAGATCAGAGCAAGCCCCGAGACGCCCTTTCTGCAAGGCCCTCCACAGCTGCAGCCCCTTACCCCTCTGTCCTGGGTGCCCAGGGCCGGGATGTTTCACAGCCGCCCATTTTCAAGATTCAGTCGCTCCACGGATCCACTTCAGCCCCAATCGTTGTGTGGGGGCGGGGAGTCCCTCTCCATCGTCTGAAACAGGCAGAGGAACATTGGTAAGAGCGTGTCCAACCCAGCCTCTTCCTATGCCCTGCTGCTGAGATCACAGCTGGTATCTAAGCCCAGGCCCCCAGCCCAGCTCCCTGGGGATGTACCTAAGCAGAGAGCTCACTCTACCCAAGGCAGCAGGACTAGCCGGAAGTCACTCTGGGGTGCAGAGAGGCAGCCAGAGCAAAGGGCAGGAGGAGAAGGGAGGGGAACATCGTAGCAGACACCCGGACAAGGCCCATGTCTGCAAGAGTTTGCCTGGTCTTCTGGGTTCGCATCACCCTTCCCTGAGCCCGTTACTGCCCTGACTCAGCCGCCGGAGGGTCTCCTTGCAGCTCCAAGCCAGGGCCGGGCAGGGACCCCCTTTGTGGGAGCAGGGCTGCGGGCAGCCCATAACTTGCTTTCCCCCTAGGACCTCTCACCCCAGATTTCAGAGCATTTTGTAGTTAGCCAATCACGCCTTGCACGCGTCCTAGGACCGATCACTCACATGGGGCAGTGGGGAAACTGAGGCAGGAGCGAAGTGCCTTGCTCGAGGTCACTCCGGGGACAGGTCAGAGCTAGTGACGGCCCGTTGCCCTGACTCCTGGGCCACTTGTGAAAAAGGGGGGCTGGACGGCATGTGGGGCAGGGCCTGGGGCACTATGCAGGCAGGCGGGAGGCCAAAAGGGGTTCAGGGCAGCCCCCGAACTCAGCACGTGTGTCAAAGCCGCTGCACTTCCCCTCTGGTCACCGAGCCTCCGCACATCACCACGCGGGGAGAAAACCGGAGCAAAACGCGCCCCAGCCCCAGAGACTGGGTCACTGGACCCTTCACTGCAGCCGCCTCTCTGAACCCCCAGTCCAGCCCCTCCCAGCAGAGCGCCCCTCCCTCCCCTGCCCTGTGGGGCGCACACAGCCCTGCGCACAACACACCCGCTGTTGAACTGGGGTGGGTGCAGCAGGAGGGGGGGTCCCAGGACTCTGCCCGCCCCTCCCGAGCTGGGAGCAGGATCAAGGCGATTGCAAAGCAGCATCAAAGCCCCCAGACCACTCTGGGTGCACAAGGCACCTGGGGGGGAAGCAGCGATCAATTTCCTGCAGGCAGGCTGCAGACCAGGCATCTCGGAGCCCACCAGCCCGGTGCACCCGGGGCCTCTGCCTTGAGTGGGGGCTTCGCACCCCACAGCCCAGGCTGAGTTCACAGCCCATCCCCCCTGCCTTGGCTTAAAGGGCTGGGGGGGGTCTGAATCCAGCAGCCCCAGGGCCAACCCCCATGCAACCCCCCCCGCAGCAGGTCCAGTTTGGCCACATTCATTCCAGCCCCCGCACAGGGGCGGATGCGCAAAACGAAACCCCGATGCGCAAAGGATTCGCGCAGCGCTTGCAACTCACCCAGCTCGCTGCTCGGAGGGGCCCTGGCAAGAGGCAGGAAACAGCATGGCCAGGTGAAAAGACACAAATGAGAGGAAGGGGGAGGCGGGACCGGAAGGAAAGCCGCTTTGCAATTGGCCAAGAGCCTAGCTCAGCCTCTCTCATGTGCCTCAATCAAGACCGGATGCAGAGGCCTCAAGCCAAGTAGCAGAAGTGGCTGTAGGAAAATGAGACACAGAAATAGACCAGAGAGATCCTGGTTGCATAGGGGCAGTCCAGACATGGGAGGTTTTTTCTTGTCTAGGCACTATTCCCCCTTCCCCACCTCGCTGTTTAGCAATTGCTCAGCCTAGGGAGAAGTCAGGGCCTTTCTGTGAAACCTCTCTGCCGTGGGAATGCAATCCTGGGTGAAAAGTTTACAAAGCATAGCCGGGATTTTCCCAGTTACTGGCCAGACATTTCTAAAGGGGGCCGCCGGGTCCAGCATTCCTAGAAATCAGCCCGACTTAAGGGGCAAAATCAGAGTTTAGAAACCCAACTTCAGGCGCTTGGTTCTGAAAAATGAGGCCTGGAATTTTGGAGTCATTTTGATCCACTCCCAGCTCGTTACAATTAGTATAATGTCAATAAAAAAATTCACCTTTATCTAGTCGTAGGTATTTTCTACATTCTGAAGTCTGGAAAATACACAGAGACTCTGGCAGTAGAGAGCCATAGGTCTAAAGGCCGTTTAAGTGCCTAAAGATGCTGAAAAGCACTTTGTGTGTTTTTTTTAAAGTGCCTAAGTACCTAATTTCCATAGTTACCTCGTTCCCTTACATACCTCACAGAAGCAGTCAGTACAATCCATCTTGGAGAGAGGGGGCTCGGAGCTAAGGACTCTGCCCCTCATCCGTGCCCCCAAGCCAGCAAAGACTCACTCACACACTCAGCAGCCTAATCCCACCCTGCAGCCAGCCCCTCCTCCTACTTTTGCATCCTAGGCAAAAGGTGTCAACTGGTCTCACCCCCCTCCCAAGCTCAGGTTACGAAGGGCCTCCACCATTGTGTACATGCACCGAAATTCCCATTGCCATCTCACTATTGGTGCGCTGCCTAGGGAAACTGAGGCACGTCCACACAGGGTTACTCCAGGCCGGTAAAAACCACACCATCAAGTGCACCATAGCAAGGGGAATGAAATCCCCACTTGGTCACACAGCAGGGCTGGAACGTAGCCACTGAGGTGGAGATTCCGTCAGCCTAACCCCACCGCCCAATGAGAAAAATCGATGTATGGCTGTACCAGCTGAGCCAAGGCAAGGAAAGCATCTTGTTTTGTTGCAACTTGTAATTCGACAACAATCCCATTCTGCCTGCTGAGATCCCCCTGCCGCTTTCTAACCAGTGATCTGAAAGGGGGACCCCTAGGAACACCTCAGGGTCTATTTGCAGCCTTGTGGAATTGCTCAGAATTGGGGCAATCAGAGTTGAGCGCTGGGGAATAGTTAGGCCTAGTGCCTGATAGTTGCCTGTAATGGGCTGGCACTCACCTCTCCCGGGCACCGCTGTTTGGTCAAGCAGTCTGATCGCTCATCAACCTGTCTGGCTACTCAGCCCCCCAGCTGAGTCTCACTCCTGTGTGAAATCACCAGGGCTCGATGATCGCGGCGAAAGCCGCTCGCCAGCCCCGCACTGTGCATGCGCATGCCCCGAGTAGATTCAATACTTTGTCAAGCCCTGGAAATCACAACCCCTTGCAGGGTGCACACCTAACAGGAGCCCATCCCAGTGCCCTCTGCTGGTGTCTCCCAGTCTCTTTCCCCCACTTGGAGAGAGTGGTGCCTCATAGGGTGTGTCTATACTACAGGGTTTTGTCGACAAAAGTGGACTTTTGTCGACAAAACTATACCTATGCGCTGCTGGACCTATCTTTATACCCCTGGGGGCCCGTATTCTCTTTCTTATCTAAGATGCCGAATTCTACTGGTCCGTTTTGTGGCGCCAGTTCTTACAAGCAAGTTTCAAGTTAATTTACACTTGCAAGAGAGATAACTAAATTGTGAGCACTAGACATTTTTTTACTGGGCGAGAGATTCCTCCCCCCGCGGATGGATGTGTGTTCGTATCAATATGGGTTTGAGTCAAGGGCACTCCTTGGCAGCCTCTTGGTCAGCAATTGGCGTATCTCTGTTTACAGCCATTCACGGTCACACAGCCTGGGCCTTCTGCTCTGTGTGCCCTGTATGCTCCAGGCAAGCAAAAATGGATGTTACAAGGGGGTTCCTGTCTGGCTACACCATCAGAGCTTTCTTGCACAAGAGAACATCCGCACTGCCATGGATGCTCTTGTGCTAAAGCACATGGCCATGTGGACATGTTCTTGCGCAAGAGTTGTCGCACAGGAACTTTCGCACAAGATATTCTTGAGCAAGAACCCGCCAGTGTACACATACCCCTTGAGCTCTGCCCTGCACTGACTGCTGCTCTGCTTTGCAGCTCCCTGGCCCCCCATTGGCCTTCGTAGGCCTTCCTGGCCCTTGATTGGCCAGTTCCTTCACTGCCACTCTTGCCAGCTTGGAGTACCTGTGACGGGGTGCAGTCACAGATGACCCCTTGGGGGTGCCTCCCGGGGTGCTGACATGGCCACTACCACTCACCTTCCCGCTCTCTGTGGCTCCTCACCACCTGTTACTGCTGGGCCAGCTCCTCTGGTCTCCCCTAGCCAAGGCCCCAAGCTGAGGTCCCTGCCCCCACCAAGAAGCAGCACAGCCACTGAACTTCTTCACGTCCAAGGAGAGTGCAGGTTAGGGCCCCGCCTCCTGAGATACCACTCCCCAGATGGGATCAAACCCCAAAGAATTGGGTGAGATCCCTTTAACATTGAAAAGGTTGGCCCCCCGGTAACAATCAAAAAGTGATTTTATTAAATACAAGCAGTAGGATTCAAGTAGTAATAAGTGAGACCAGGCAGAGCGAAATAGGTTACAAATCAAAAGAAATAAAAACACTTGGCTAATTCTGCACTGACACCTCAGTGCAAACTTAAACTCACCCTAAAACCTCTTTTCCAGCTGCCCCTCCAAACCAGGGCTGTCTCCCCACACTGAGGTCTTCTGCTCCTTCCTCCAGGTGCAGCCCAGCCAAAAGACCAAGGCCTCTGCCTTCCTATTCTCTTTGTTAAAGAATTGAGGCCCCTCCCTACCAATCACTGCTAGGACTTAAGGGCAAAAGTTGCTCATCAAGACTTTGAAGGTAACACCCTCCATGTCTCTCATTCATACTTTGAAACCCACAAAGTGTTCCCTGATCTAGATGTTTAGTTTTACACCCAAAAATGATACATACACCAAAGTAAGCTTAAACAGAACCAGCGAATCATGCCACGAAGATTGGTGGGTTACACGAAATAATTCGCTAAGAGCACCTTTGAGTTACCGTAAAATTTCGAGTATAATGCACACTTTTTTCCCGTTTTTTTTAGCTTCAAAGTTGGGGTGTCCATTATCTATAGGAGGTTTTTAAAAAAATTTAAACTCACCCTCAGCAGGCATGGGCTGGGCTGGGCTGGGCTGGGCTGGGCTGGGGAGGAAGGGGGCCGGCAGGCGTGAGCTCGGCACGCCAGCAGCTGAGCGAGGGAAGTTCCCACGTCAGGCGCGAGCTCGGTGCACCGGCAGCGCTCGGCTGGGCAGGGGGATCCCGCAGCAGGCGTGAGCTCAGCTGGGTAGGGGGTTCGGTGGCAGGCACGAGCCCCTTCCTTCCTATGCATATCATAAAATCTCGAGTACAGTGGGGGTGCTCATTATAGGTAAGAGGTTAGTTTATTCAAGAATTCTGACCTTTAAAAGGCAGATGCGCATTATACAGAGGTGTGCATTATACTCGAGATTTTACGGGTATGTAAATTCATGCCCGGGAGGGAGGGGGGGTGTCCGTCACAGGAACTCTCTATGGTTTCTCTGGGGCGGGGTGTTACCAGACCACCCAGTCCCGTAACTATATGGGGTTTGCCGTGCAATCAATGTGTGCAGTGAGACCCAGTCTGCTCCCAGGGACAACAGCTGGGATTATAAGTAGGGTGACCAAATTCACAGTCTGTTTCAGTCTTTTCCACAGTCATAGGATTTGAAAAATTGTAAATTTTAGGATTTCAGAAATGTAAATCTGAAATTTCACAGTGTGGTAACTGGAGGCTCTGATCATAGAATCATAGAACACTAGGACTGGAAGGGACCTCGAGAGGTCATCGAGTTCAGTCCCCTGCCCCCATGGCAGGACCAAATACTGTCTAAACCATCCCTGATAGACATTTATCTAACCAACTCTTAAATATCTCCAGAGATGGAGATTCCACAGCCTCCCTGGGCAATTTATTCCAGCGTTTGACTACCCTGACAAGTAGGACGTTTTTCCTAATGTCCAACCTCAACCTGCCTTGCTTCAATTTAAGCTCATTGCTGCTTGTCCTGTCCTAAGAGACCAAGGAGTGCCATTTTCCCCCCTCCTTGTGACACCCTTTTAGATACCTGAAAACCACTATCAAGTCCCCTCTCAGTCTTCTCTTTTCCAAACTAAACAAGCCCAATTCTTTCAGCCTTCCTTCATAGCTCATGTTCTCTAGACCTTTCATCATTCTTGTTGCTCTTCTCTGGACCCCTCCAATTTCTCCACATCTTTCTTGAAATGCGGTACCCAGAACTGAACACAATACTCCAATTGAGGCCTAACCAGCGCAGAGTAGAGCGGAAGAATAACTTCTCGTGTCTTGCTCGCAACACACCTGTTAATGCATCTTTGACGGGCCGGCGGCGGCCCGCATTAGAACAGGGCGGGCTGCTGCCCCAGCCCCGGCCCCAGCAGAATGCCCGGGAGGGGCTAGCTCACCGGCGCACTGCCAGGAAGCCACGCCAGCCGAACGCCGCCGGGAGCGGGGCCCCGTGGC